CTATCTTTGATCGATCATAGATATATTTAGAGCGCATCTATACATCCATGTACATCCACGATATTGTATATCATCCACAGAACTAGGTGGTCACATAATGCTTTTTTAAAGGCGTAGTACAGATCTAAATCTGTAGTAAGTATCAAGGTATACACTAATAATATACTGAATATATTACTTAATATACTTTATATTTATTATATTATAATCTATACCTATAAAATGACCATATATAGAATTTCTATAGATTATTAAAGATATCAAAATAAATATCCCACATTATCACAAAAATGCGTAGACAACGTTACTTTTTAACCGATTTCTCACGGCGCTGTTACTGTTAACCTGCCTGTAAGCAGCTCACTCATAATACTTTAAAAATTAAAAGTTATTCTTTTATGAAACGTGTGAGAATGTTTAATTAAGTAAGTGGGATAAACGGAACCGAGCACATACTTATTGCCAATGAAAGTGACAACATGCTCGTAAACATTGTAGCACCGAAACTATACAAATAATAATAGGATTATGAGAATATAATACCAGTTCTCAGGCTGATTAAGAAGTATAATAATGTGTTTTAATTAAGCTGGTATCTATACTTACTTTTAAGCAAAATTATAGCGTTCACAAAACTGACAATAATTAACAGTTCAACCATTGTTGTATTTACGCAAAATCTAATGACGTAATTACAAAATTTGAGTAATTGATTATTTATGAACTACATAACTGTGTGTTTTATAGCAAAATAATGATAAACGAGCATATGACCACATATGAGCATATGATGGTAAGTTACTGTAGTGTATTGCACCAGGGGTGTCACGTGTATAACTGCAACCCGTAATTTTTTTAAACTTAATATATCTAAGTTAAAATATATTGAATTATTCTGAACATAAATTTTTGCTGTATCTAAGAATAATGTTTTATGGGATATATTATTAAAAAGTACCTACTGTAATGGAATCGATAGAAATATCATAAAACTCATCCCGTAATAATAAGTATTTATGAAATGTATTTTTTTTATATGTTATATAGTAATGATACCTATTTGGAAAACTTGCCAAGTTTCAAGAGCATAGAAAATCTAAATATAAAATTAATTTTTAAATCAATCATAGACTATACAATATTTAAATAGCACCTATGACCGCACGACTTGCATATTCAAATGATTTAAAAATGATACATATTTTCTTTTCTATTACCTCTTATGGGTAGAAAATTTCTTGCAGAAAATTATTTTATTGTACATACAAATATCGCTGGATTTCGGATCTCTATACGCGTTCTATTATACCCTGTGTAAGCTTTAAACGTTAACGATTATTTATTGACAGTTGACCACCATATTGCAAACAAACAAAGATTAGTTCCACGTTATTCGATGTATATCCTGGACTCATCGAAAATTAGTTTCGGGTGAGTTTCACGGGAGCACGCCCTCTACCGCGTCATGTGCTAAGACTCGGGTACTCATTAATGAGTTGAGCTCCAGCAAAAAATATGTTCATCTATACAAAAAGGCGGCGCATGACTCGCCGCTCTGCGATCAATTATTAATAAAAAAGCGGGCCGCTTCATTGAAAGGGCGATTAGCTCAATATTTATATGGAATATTCGGTATCAACGGCTCTTTGTGCTCATAATTCGGTGGGTCGTGACGAGGCGCGTTTGACTGCCGCCGCCAAACGCATAGACCAAATGCTATGGCACCGAAGTAGACACGATATATGTGTATCTGGTGACATAAGGCAATTTTCTTTACTTAACAGTTAATTAATCTAAAATATCTTTATATTGCGTTACTAATTTTAGTTGCAAATTGACATAAAAGAAATGGCCCAAAAAATTATCTGCACCATGAAAAATACTACTGAAAATAATGATAATACAGAGATAAAATATAAATTTCTATTAATATCTGAATATATTTCAAATTCCTTCATGTACAAAATACGTCAGAGTTCTCCTAACTTTAGTTCATAATAGTAATAAGATAGCTATAATCTTCAGAACTTAATAAATTACAGGATACCTAGGCATAACATCTCAGTGCTCAAGAAAAGCAATGTGTTATACCAATTGTTACTATTCACACCCATAGACGACGACTGCCACTTTCAGTCAGAAGGGAAGTAAGCCCGTTTGAAATTACATAAAAAAATATTTACTTTATTTTATATCTCCTCACAGAGCATCTTCAAGAATAGGCAAAATATACGACCAAAGATCGTAGAACGTAGCGCCACGATCGCGAGGCCACCAAGCTCGAAGCATTTATTGTACTACCGAATTGACTCGCCGTCTTTGAAAGGAATTCTTCGCAGTGAAAGCATCTATGCCGACATAAATTTATTTAATTTGATACATTTTCCACGCACATCAATCATATAGCCCACGTACTGATTCGTTCACTGGCGAATTACTGACTAAAATTAATAGATATCTGCTATTGTGAGTCGCACGCACACCTTATATTATCTTATTAAGAAATATTATAAAAATAGTGATAATTTAGTTACTTTAAACTAGCATTTAGTTTACACTGTCGATAACGTTTGTCTGATATTCAAATAAGTAATTTACACATCCCTGTATGAAATGGGAATCATCAGCATTGTTTTACCAAGTGTTCTAAACATTTTTCTCGAATAGATCCAAAAACGAAAAAAAATTTTTTGGATCTATTTTTTCATTTGGAACCAACATAGCCATTTCAGATGAATTCGAGTACAAAAGCACTAGTAAATAATTGAATAAATATTATCTACATAATGATAATTCCTGAAAGTGAATCGAAAAATGTATAGATATCAATATATCTGAATTGAAAATAATTTAAAACTGCGTTCTATAAAAGACAATTTCAGTTGTTGTGAAACCAGTGATTTTTATTTAAAAACTAAAATACTAAACCGATTTGGTTTTCTATGGAACCAATCTGTAAGTGTATCCTTTCAGATAAAAGTGTTTTCCAAATCGGTTTATTATAACTGAGGGTTTTATGAGGTAACAAACATAAAAAAAGACAAATTGAGAACCTCCTTCGCTTTGAAATCGTTAGAAAAAGTAATTTAAGATCTATAAACTCTATTAAAGTGAAATATATATCTACATATAGACAAGTACTTACTGTAAGTCTGTATATACTAACATGTATACATTCAGAATGAGGTATAAGCCTTCTTCTTTATTAAAAGTTGATAAAAACAGAATTTGTCGAAAAGAAAATCTTTATCCTTTATTGACTTAATAATTATTATTTAAAATACAAGTCCTAAATAATTACAGCATATCTTATTTATACACAAATATTCTTTTAATATTACCTACAATATCTAGTAATGTTCCGTAATATAAATAATAGGCAAACAATTCCAATAAGCAATATAACGATTAACGAATGTTTGGTGGAACGATTTTTCAACAGAGCTGATGCTAATGAAAGGGCATTTTCACGAGCTTTGGCGCCGGCCGCCATGCAAATGTGGCAGTTAATGACGCGCGAAGCCGCACCACACAACTATATCGTGTATGATACACTACGCACCACACGCACTACGCACAGGCCTAATATTATAACTTACCATTACAATGAAATTGATAAAAGAAACACCTTAGGAAAACTTATACAGGTTCTTAATCTATAAAAAAAAAAATTATATTGATTGTAAATAGGTGCATAAGTTGTATGTTGTTTAACATCTAAATTATCGAATAAAGTTATAGATTAAGGTTAAAACCGATAGATAAATTCAGAGTCATTGCTGTATATTTTTTCAATAACAGAAATTTTCGAAAACCATACATAAAAATAAACATATATAAGTACTTAATTTATTTTCATTGTATCTGCCATAATGTCATCAGCATATCAGGCGTTGATTGTCCACTGCTGAACATAGGCCTCCCCCATAAAGAAGGGCTTTGCCAGTAGTGACTACGGATGGCGGGTGGATTAGCAACCGCAGTTCGGATTTGGTGATGTTTTAAGAGGAACGCTACTGCTGAACAATTGTCGGAAATGGCAAATACGATAAGTTCGTTAATTTTCCGTTATATATATAGGGGACGCTGCTGGCCTCCCCTTGACCATTAAGTTCCCTTTAGTAGCCTCTTACGACACTCCTGCGAAAGTGAGTGACCCATTCTTTGCCGGAACCACATGACAAAAGTTTATAATATTACTCCTACATTATGTATTTAACTTTTATTATGTTAAAATGTCATTGATTCCTCTGTAAACAATTCCTAACACTTCTTTATTTTTAAATTGCATATTTCAAGGTGTAATAAAACGTCAATTTATTAAATGTACGGTTAATTTATCCTTGTAAAAAACCTCTTAATATCCGACCTCAAGGATAAGGTAAGGTGATAATTATAACGAATGAGTTTTTATTTTAAATGTTGAATCAACTTTAATAATTGTGCTTGCTGCCATTTAACCGCAAAATATCAATGACTCAGGACTGTTATAAAGATGTTTAATTGCGACGCACCGAAGACTTCAAATTGTCTCCAAAATAAAAGTCCTTCAACCTTGAAAAGGGCGGAGAATACGCCATGAAAGCGCCTCACAATACTCTTTTAATTTGTCATTATGCAACAATAAAAACATTGTAAATGATAGCGACAAAAAACTCGTTCAGAGCCTGACAAAAACCGCGAGCTGGGGCGAAATTCGCAAATCATCCCGCCATAATGACTGCCGCTTGAAAAAAATTTAAATATCAAAAGGCCGGACGGGGCACAGTAATGGTTTAAAATCATTTTTCATTCGACTCACTCATGAGTCAGAAATATGAAAACAGTAGCCATCGGCCGCGGGCCCATTAACTCGTCGCGACTCGCGATTAGAATTTTGGAACGCGTCCATCTTTTATTTTCCCTTTAAATAAAAACAAATAGGTTTTATAATGGAATGAAACGGCGTAGTTGGCGGCGAAGGAAACTACTGACTACAATTGGAACTCAAATAATAGACTTTGTAACCTGTGTAATTAGTAACTTTATTTACACAATGTAAACATTTTAATTAAATTTTCTTCTTTTTCTTTTTATTATACGAATGTTCCAGTGGAGGCAGGCCGCTGTCAAATTCGCTAGCAGTATGCATTGAACTCTGCGTGTTCGTTATCCGAGTTCCAAACGTTACCTTCATTTTTGGGAACCTATAAAAGAAAACTCTCAATAATATTGATAATCGTGGTAAGTTTTATCACAATTAAATTTGATTCATCTTCATCAAATTCATCTATCTTTCGTCCACTATTACACCTATTTCACTATTAACCTATTAAGGGAGGGAATACGTATCCCGATATGATTATATTAATTAAACTCCAATAAGGAATATGCTAAATATAATATAAATTTCAAGTGTATATCTACAAACAACCCTAGTATTCAATATAAGTACATTTTTAAGTATTTCTCATCAACTGAAACCTTCCATTCAACGTCTTCGATAAGTACCTGCTCGTAATATTTCTTTATTCTATATAGGAAGACTATGGAATAACAGCTAACATTATAGCTCAATAGTCATAAACAAGATTTAATTTTGTACTAATATCATAAATATGAAAATTTGTAAACATGTTTGGATTTTTGTTACTCGATTACACTAAAACATCTAAACGGGTTTGAATGAAATTCGGTACACAAATTGAATCCTATCCTAACGTATAGCATACTTTATATACTGATACATATAGGTAAAACCGTAGGAAAGAACTAGTAGTATATGTTATATATTTATTTAATTGTTTCGGTTTGAAGGGTGGAATATGGCAGTAAATTTACAGAGTACAGAGGAATAACACCAGAGTCCTCAGGGAATGGCGATGCATGGGGGGTATCATGGGCGAAATAGTATACTCTGTTATATCCACAGTTACCACGTCCCACCAGGTGGGCAATCAGCTTTTTTGCCATTCTAAGTTGCATAAATTCTTTATTAACCACAATACAAAAAAAATGTCTAACACAAAAGGCGGACTTAATACATATACATATATAACATTATCTTCCAGTCAAGCTTTTGCAAAACAGAATTGTAATTATGCAGTGAAAAAAATTGAAATTTGTTGCAGATAAACAATTACACGTAAGTATCGATATATCTAAATCAAACAAATGTTCTTATACTCATCCCTATCAATTTAAAAGGCTCATGTTCATGGTGTTAACTTACCCGGGCCTCTTCCTCTCCTCTTCATCTCTGACCGTCAATTTGTTGAACGGCTTCTCTTTCTTCAGGTTCGGATCTGACTTGGCTCGCCGGGCGAGGGCCGCGGGCGTGTCCCTGAGGGCGAACGCCTTCGCCGCGTGTCCGAGGTGCAACTGTCGCGCGTCCAGCCACTGTCTCACGTCACGAGGGTATCCAGAGTAGAAACGCACCCACGACGTGTATGCTGTTTAAAATATATTTATATTATTAATTTATTTTCACTTTAATGCATCAGTTACAAAAACAAAGAATAAGTAAATAGTTCAGATGAACGGTATTTTCTATCACTTTACTGAACAATCTCGTTCTGCCAACTTTTGAGTAGAGGACATTGAAAATAATTCAAGATTGTGGTCCACAAAAAAAACTTACTTCAATTGTAGCAAAACCAGTTATTCAGATTATACAGATTTTAATAATTTTTCTATGGGGCCAATCTGTAAATTATCTGTAAATGTCAGATAAAAACGAATCTTACAAATCGCTTTATAACTGACGGGGTTATAAGTTAACAAACATAAAATTACAACTAAATTGAACCTCCTTTTTTTTAAGTCGGTTGAAAAGGGTGTGTAGGCCCCTTTATATTTTTTTTTCAATCAAGGTCCTCTCCCCAAAGATAGCCTGTAATTCAGGCTTTATAATATATAATGCATATATAATCCATGCATAAACGCCTCACGAATTTTTTTAACCGATTCGATGTGATTAAACAATCACAAAATGGATTTCAGAAAAATAAATCCACAACATTGGCAGCATTCACTTTAGTTAGTTCCGTCACAGATTGTATAGATAAAAAAACACCAGTTACAGCTATTTTCTTAGACATGAGCAAAGCCTTTGATGTAATTAATCATGACGTACTAAAGGACAAATGTGAATTATTTGGTATCAGGGGGTTAGCCTTAAAATGGGTAGAGAGCTATCTACGTGACCGATATCAGTGTGTAGAAATTAATCGCATTGATAAAAATTTAAATTCCTCAGCATATAGATCCACTTTCCTTTGTAACAAAACAGGTGTCCCTCAGGGAAGCGTTTTAGGACCTCTTCTGTTCTTAATAAGTGTAAATGATCTACCTGATACAACTCAAGAACAATGTATATTATTTGCGGATGATGTCTCGATAATAGTACCACATAATGATCCAGCTATTAATTATAATGATAGGATCAATATAACACTTACGCAGATTGCGGACTGGCTTGATAGAAATCAACTATGTATAAATACAGAGAAAACAAAATATGTCCAATTTTCTAATTACAATTCCACAAATAAGAACCTAACAGTAAAATATCGAAACAAATTAATTTCCAAAGATAATGTAGTAAAATTTCTAGGTATTACGTTAGATGAAAATTGTAATTGGAAGATCCATATAAATGTGTTATGTACTAAAATTAATAAATTTGTATATGCACTCAGACGTCTACGCAATACAGCCAGTAAAAATGCAGCTCTTACCGCGAATCATGGCTACGTTGGATCTATATTGCGATATGGAATCTTACTTTGGGGTAATGCAACATTGATTAACAAAGTATTCATTTCACAAAAGAAATGTGTTAGAGCTATCTGTGGATTAGCGCCTATGGAATCATGTAGAAACTATTTTAAAGATATAAAAATATTAACAGTTACGAGTTTATATATCTTAGAAATTGGAATCTTTGTTAAAAAACACCCACAGTTATTTAATAAAATTTGTGAAATTAATAAATTTATCAAAAGGGACCCTACCAAACTACACATGCCTATATGTAAGAGTAGCCTCTATCATAAAAATTGTTTTGTGATGTGCATAAATATTTACAATAAGATACCCCAGTCATTTCGTGAAATGCCCTTTGAAATTTTCCGAAGAAAACTACGAAATTGGCTTATTGAAAAGTGTTTTTACACGATAAAAGAATTTGTAAGTCTGAATGGCAGATTAGACTAAGAATGCATTTTATGTAATAATATTAATAATATGACATGTACAATTTTAATGCTTTATAACTATAATATCGACTATTTTTAAATGTTGACATAATTAACTAATTCAATGTAACAATTAATATGTATTTAGAATAATTATTTGGACATACATAATTGATAAATTTTTACTTAACATGTGCTAAGACAAAATTTGCATGCCTTTAGATAAGGCGAAATGTGTAGTTCAGTTACCATTTTAAGACCTTTGTACCACATTTCGAGCAAATAAATTATTCTTATTCTTATAAACAATAAATATTTATATACATACATAGATAATACATACACACATCTACGAACAGTACATTATATTTTTTATTTTTTATATTTCGCTCTAATAACTTTTTTTTTATTTTAAAACTATTATTCTCGATTATCAATATGAATGACAATCAAGGATACAGAATGTTAATACTCGCAAAGTGTCTGCACTTTCAAGTCGTTGCATTTTATTTATTTATTTTTTATGCTAATTGAAACAATAATTACACAGCTACAAAATATTATATTAGTTTTCTAATTTTCATTAATCTGTAATTAAAACTTTAAAATTTTAGAACGGACATCTATTTATAATTTTTAGAAGCAAAAAATGCTATATACTAATATAAAATTTGATTAAACTGAACTCCTTTAACCCTATAAATCTGTCTGCGCAATCATACCCCTGCTAGCTCTGGCCAGCCAGTCCTTGTTGGTGTGCGCAGTGTTCTCCAACCGAGCCTGCACGGCTATGGCTGCGCGCGCAGCATTAGGTGCCGTCGGCGCTACTGTCCTCAACGCATCCAACGCCTTCGATTCGTCTGATTGACGGAGCCTAATAAAGTAATAATTATGGAAACTCGTTTAAAATTAGGAAAGTTAGGTTATGACAAAAATAAATTTATCTTTACAAATAACAAAATAGAATTGAATCCAAACCTGTACATTAAATATTTTTAGAGAAAATGATGTATAGGTTTATACTACACACGATACTGATCCGAAAACAATTTTATTTTTTTATTTTTATGTATGTTGTATTTTTATGTATGTAAGACAAACTGATAAACAGTTTGTCTCATATTCTTTTTGTGCGTTCTCGTTTCACGTAAACTGAGTGGAAACATTGTGATGAAATTTGTACAATAATTTAAGTTAAATATGGGTCGACATAAAAAAAATCTCTTAAAGGGATAAATTGATATTTTCAGCGGAGATATGTGAAATTGCTGTTCAACGCAAACGAATTTTAAATACACAATCGGGACTTATCGCGATGTAAAAGCCTTTACAGGTAATTAGTACCTACATACCTGCTTCTTTAGTGTCGACTTTTCGACGTGGATTGCACCACGTCGTAGTCACGACAGGACTTAAAATATGTGTAAACAACACGAAAGTTTTAAATTAACTGACGCAAACGAAATTTAGTACACGGCTAGTATTAGAAAAATAAACATTAAAATCGACATCCTCGCAGGTTCCGTTTTCATAATTAAAGCGGGTCTTACAATTATTATATAGCATATCATTATAAGCCACCCACCTGATTCGCTTTTGTTCAAGATGCCTGACGAATTGGGCCTCACTGGGCAACAGGAACATCACGGCGGCGCCTACTTGTGCGGCACGACCTGTTCGCCCCACCCTAACACATAATATACCAATTTAAAAACAATAATAAATAGATTTTACACGTACACTGTTATTTTGAGAAAGCAATTTTTAAAAAAAGTTATATTTAAAATCAGAAAAAAAAGAGAGAAAAATACTAAAGATACTGAAAAAATACTACTGCAGGGCTATACTATACTATACTATACCTATGGACGTAATCTGTAGCTGAAGCGGGAGCACAATATTGCAGAACTAAGTCGACACGCGGAACGTCCAGACCTCTAGCAGCCACATCCTGATAAAAAAAAAATCTAAATTGGTACCCCAGTACAAGAGCCACTTCGTACGTCTTACTACATTCCAAACACGGTATGGATAAAAGATATAAAACAATAACTTTTAAAGTAATGTTAATAAAAATTATATACTATTATATTCTGTATTTATGGATGTAATTAATTAAAAGTTTTCAACATTTAATGCCTGTCTACCTGCACGCCTATTTACTATATATGTACAATTTACCGATATAGATAAAAAAAAAAACATACGGGCCATTAAATTCGACGGTGACGTAATAAATTGATATATTAACATTCTTCATATACAATGTCAACAAATTGATTAAAAACAGAAGCTCCATACAATATGGCGGCGAGATTACAGTATGTACCTACATACATTACGGCGCAGTAGCGACCCCCCGCTGCAGCTACGATTGGACAACGGATTGGTCGCAATCACTTTGATTTATTTCATTAATAACTATTATATATGTAGTAGTGTCGTTTAATTTCAAGTGTATATATTGTAGTATATTAGAATGGCAAGGCGATAATTTTAAAAGTACATTTGTTATGGAAATTTAAATATAACCAACGCTGTAAAACCCCGTGTGTGCCCCGGCATAGAATGGGCCATCCCTTCCTTTCCCATAGGTGTCGTAAGAAGCGACTATGGGAGGGCGAGGGATGGACAGCAGCATCTTAAAACATCTCTAAAAAACTAACTGCGGTTGCCAACTCGCCTGCCAAGCGTGGTAACTATTAGCAAAACTCCTCTTATGGGGAAGGCATCCATCAGTGTCAATATCCAGCAGTGGATAGTTAACAGTTAAAATAATATTAATAAAAACGCTGTAAATTCTGACATACCTACTGCAAATACTAACTGAATATGGCCATTGGGATGAACATAACACCCAACATACCTACATTTCACCGAATACATAAGAATGAAGTATAGTTGGTAATATTACCATATTATTAATTAACAATTTCGTTTAATGTAAAATCAAGTTTTAAAAGACTACTATTTACTAAACATTATTTCAAGGTATATGTGAACTATCTGTATTCCTTAAAAAATCTCAAGCTTTAAATATAATATAGGATAACAAAGGTCATGTCACGTATAAATAACTCTTAAAATGGATAAACTAAAAAAATCTATGCTTTCTTACTCTAACTAAAAAAACCCAAAACTTTGAATTATTAAAATTAAGTTAGAATATCCGCTGTTGCTCCTCAATATTATCCTTCTACAAAACACGAGGCGAGCATAAAGAATAAACAATTAAATTTTAATAATTACAATACATATATATATCTAAAAATGTTTATTGCAAATCTCCACGAAATACTGATACTGTAGATATGTGAAAGCGTGTAATTGCTGGTAAGTATTTAAATTACACCTCACAACAGTACCATCGGTATATGGTACGTGACAGCCGATAGCCAGCGGCGTTACAGACGTAATAAATACAGATAATAGTGTTTAATCGACGCGTATTGTCGGCGATGATGTGGGAGCCGACAGAGGCTGCCAATGAATGACCAGCTAATAGTACGAGCCGAACAACAATTAACTATCGACATATAAAGGTAAGCGGTGCCGGGAGCTTTCTTTGTCGATGAATTAAGAATGTAACGATGACTGTAGGTGGTATCAATCTCATCAGACAGAGCGGTTATTGAACATAATTTTGTACGTTTAGAAATAGACAAGTGAAAATAAATCTATATGGTGTACTATAATTAAGAATTAAAAAGAATTTATAGTAACATAACTGTAATGTTGATTAAAAAAGGTGTAGTTTTGTAAAAGATACTGAAAAGGCATCCAAATAGTGATAATTTAAATTTCCAAACAAATTAAATAATTTCTATTCATAAATTTGATTTTTTTTTTTCTAGAAAATATCTAGCTACAAAATCTGTATAAATAAATGTTTAATGACATAAGTTAAACTTACGGTACAAATAAGGACCCCATTTCTAGCAACTCGGAACTGCTTGAACACTTCCATTCTCTGCTCGTGGGGCATAGAGCCATGAAGACTGAACATCTCCAACTCTACTGGCACTAGACCGCCCTCAACCGGTTCTTCATAATCTATTTCAAACTCTGAACTTGACGATGACGATTTGTCCTAAACGAAAAAATAAGTTTGTATATAAATTTTAATTTTATAACGAAAAACAGTTAAAAAGACTCTAAATCCCTTTAAGTAATTGTAATCAATGGTTTATAATGGTAAACTTTAATTTTGTAAACATTATATGTTTTATTACCTCATCATTTTCATTTTCAAGTTTTCTTTTCTTCATTATAGATTTTTTTGTTGAATTCTTTTTCTTCTTAACTTTAACATTTTTCCCACACAAAACTGTCTCTATTAATTCCGAATGATAGTCCACCATTTCTAAAGTTGCCATAAAAACGATCATTTTACCGCCCTTTTTATTCAAAACACAATGTTCCACAATAAGAGAACATAAAGTAACCAAACGTAGTTTCATTGGAACAATAAGGAATGTCTGATTTACAGTTGACGGCAGAATCAATTCATCTTCAACTATTGCTGTTTTTACAGCTTCTTCAAATGTATTACCAGTATTAGATGGTTTAACATCTTCTTCGTCGGATTCCACTTTTTTTGTTTTCTCTGCTAACTCTTTTTGGACTTTGAAATATTCGTAATCGGAATCACTATCGGATTCTTTATTAACATTTGATTGATTTGTTACATTATTTAATATTTTCGAGTCACTAGTTTGGGTTTCATTATCATTTAAAAATAAATCTGGGTAATTTAATCCAGAAAAGGCTTTCAAACCTGAAAAAATCTGCATTTAATATCTATAGAACAAATATTTAAGGATTTGCATTAAAATGAAAATATTATTTTTGAAATTTACTAAATTATTTAAATAAAGTTTTATTACATACCTCTTTTAGTCTCTGGAACATTATCTTCAGGAATGATATTATGAACCTTATCATCTAGCACAGGCTTGTTTTTACACTTTAAATTATTTTCATTGCTTGTCACATTCATGTTTGTAATATTTACTTGATCTAACATACTATCATCACGCTGCAATTTAAGTGAGTCAGCAACAACTGCTCTTCCTTCAGATGTATCCACAAATACAGGATCCACCAATGTAATTCCAGCCAAATTTTCTACTGCCTATGAAAAAAATATTTATTATTAAGAATATATTATTTGTGATGGCTTTAATAATATACGCTAAATTAATTTGTGAGTTTATACCTTAGTAAGTGTAGCTGATAACAAAATAGTCTGTCTCTGTTTTGATAGAAACACTTCTGTCAAATGATGTTTGATTTCGTTTTTTTCCTCTGGTTGTTTCTCTATTGTTTCCTCTGCATTGTCTTTAGTTAAGTCTTTTTTTATATTTTGTTTTATAAGTGCCATAGGATCGTATGTAGCAGCTTTTTTATGATCTTCTATAGCTTTTACTATAGCTGCTACATCTTTTTCATAACCCATGTCTAGTAATCTATCAGCTTCATCTAGTACTAAACAACTAGAATAAAATAAAAAAGTAATCACTATAGTAAATAATCTAATATTGATAGATAACTTAGACCTTACAATTTTAAATAAATAAAATTTAATGCATTGTCAATAAATTTACATTCTTGATTATAAATGAAAACTTGTCAAATAAGGATTAAATAATAATTAAAGCCACCAATATTTTGCAAGCATATTCACAACTATAAGCAACATATTAAAATAGAAACATCTTGTCAACAAAGTATATTTGCCTTTGTAGCAAAGCTTACAAATATTGTTTGTTTTATTCTGCTTTATGTGAAAACTTGAAAACATTCTTTGTAATCATTTCAAGGTTTAACTTACCCAGTTTTAGCAAAATTGAGAGATTTGGTGTGCCTCAAGTGATCATTTATCCGACCTGGTGTACCAACTAATATGCTCAGTCCTTTCCTTAGCCTCGCCTTCTCTGCTTTTCTTTTTTGTCCCCCACTTAATAAACCAGGAACTACCCAAGTAAATGGCTAAAATAGAAAATAATGCTTTTTCCACTTACTACTATATTAACAATTACTCTGACATCATAATGATAACTAAAAACCATAGTATTAGATGGTGTGTGACTCAAATTATTTAAATATATATATCTTATTCTTTTGTATTGTTTAGCATTGTTATAAAAATAATTTCCTATATACAATATATTATTAGTAGCAGTTAGAAACACTAACTTGTAGAAATAAAAAACTAATTCAGATTGTTACCTGTAACTCTCCAGATACCATTTTACCAATACTAGTTTTAGGAGTATAAGATAAAAAGTTTCAGCATAATGGCACAAATACAAAAACGAGTGATTTTAAGATAATTTCTAATGATGTCAACATCTATGAGTACTTTTGATTCATCCTTTGTCTTTATAGTATATATTACTAAAGTAATACATACATACATACATAGATATGTATGTATGTAGGCACGCCTGTCTCCCATTAGGGTAGGCAGAAACAATGGAATGCCAAATGCTTTGATTCAAACAAACCTCTTTCGCTTCTTCCACATTCATCAATCTTTTCATACATGCTCGCCGGTTACAGGTATTTTTAATTACTAAAGTAATTTTCATCTTAATTCACCATTACCAGCTTGACCATGATAACTCTAATTTCATAAATATCTATCGATATAAAATAAACATTTGATAACTGAAAATAAAAATACCTTGACCAATTTTAAGAACAGTTCATATGTCTGTACAGCCAATTCTCTGGTGGGTACAACAACAACCACCATTATGCCATCATGCCTGTTAATTTTTGGCCTTATCGCCTGCAACCCCTCAACAATAGGCAAGGCATATGCTAGTGTTTTTCCTGAGCCTGTTTGAGATCTGTACAAAATAATAATAGTAAAATTAAATTAAATATGTTTAAAATACTAGCAAATTCAATTTTTAACATAATTTAATAAAATAAACTGACAAACTTCTTAATACAGATTAATACTACTTCTTAAATATATGATATTCATATTAATAAATAAATGATATTCTATTATGAAAATCATATACCAATATTTATTGTGTGGAAAAAATTTTGAGAAGCTGGGGTTTGCTTCTAGACCTTTATTGTAGGGTCAATACTCATTAGTTAATATTGTTGCTCATAGCAGCTAGGAATTCTTAATTAAAAAAGTAATCCAATGAAATATATTTTTTTTTATAAATTTCTAAATAAAATTTTAAAATTATTTATTAATCATGAGTGTAAAATTGTTTAAAAAACTTATAGTTTTAAAAAATAATTTCTTTTTTGTTCTTAATTTTTTTTTATATTTTGAATTGAAATACAATTATCTTATTATTTTAGAATTTTATTTAAAAACAAAACGTAAAAATTAAATGGTGATTAGATGTTATGTTTAGTTATTGAATGAATAAACTCTTTATTCTTCCCTTCAAAGCATGATATAGATTATCATTACATATACAAAAAATGAATAATTAATTACATAAAATCAAGGGAGCAAGAATGAGCGGCCTTATCACTAAATAGTGATTTCTTCTAGGAAACCTTATGATTCTATTTAGATAATCCTTTTTCTTACCTCTTTTACAAAACCACCTTAATATATTACACACCTAAGTGCTTTTACTCGTGTAAAAATATTTAAGTATGTAATATTTTACATAGAATAATTTTTTTTTATTTGATTATTAAGTTAATTAAAAGGTAAACAAGGTAGATAGTAACAATGAAGATTTAAAAGTAACCAAAGCTTATAAGGATAATTAACAAAATATTTTAATAATGTTGCACCCTATGAAAAAATGTTGTTGTATTATAAAACATATTTTCAATCCGACTTTTAATAAAAATTTTATGTACAAACTAAGAGGTACATAATAGTATTACTGTATTACATTTTTGTACAAAAATCTTAATCAATGAAACATACCTAATTAAAATATCTCGACCCTGCAATATAATAGGTATGGCATTTTGTTGAACAGTCATCAACTCTTTCAGGCCTAAATTTTGTTGTAAATTTGCCACACTGTGAGGATGTATATCTAAATCTGTAAATGTTGTACCAGCAAACACTTTCTCTGTTAAAGGTTTTACAGCTCTCTGTCCGATACGTGGAACATCTGGATTATTTTTAAACAAAGATGAGATCCAACCACCACTTCTAGGTTTTTGTTTTAGTTGCAAATCATCATTTAATTCTTGATAGTTTTTTCCTTGATATTTCCCTTTATTTTCACTGAGATCACGCAAATTTGTAGATAGATCAACATTAGTGTTTGGTTTTGGTACCTTCTTTTGTGCCTCGCCTTCCAACTTTTTAATAGTTTGGCTCAAATTTTGTGGCCTTTTTCTAGCTATGGTTTTACCAATAAACTTAGGTTTAGACATAAACTTGTATTCCGGAGCATTTTTATTATCTACATCAACTTTCTTCTTAACCTAATAAAATATTAAACCATTTAGTGAAATGCGGTTATAAATATTGTTACATCACAAGAATAATTATCACTCACTTTTTTTACAGCAGAAATATTCAATTGTAGATCTTCCATTTTACAAATCCTTGGATATTATAATCATTTATAGGTTACAATTAAACGCACATTTGTTGTTGTCTTGAAATATTTTGACGTGATTTTGTTTTGACATATCTTTAGTGTTGCCAACTCTGTATCTGGTTTTCAATCTAAGGTAAGGCGAATTAAAAAAGTATAATATATTAAGTCTGAAAATGTAAAAATTAAGTACAATAATTAATCAATAATGTTATATATAATTAATGGATGGTTGATATTATTATAATTCTTTATTATTTAGTCTACTTACTAAATAAACTACAAAATTCTTCAATAATAAATAAATATGCTCCCGGATGTGACCCCTTTGGTAATGAGAGGCATAGTGAACGTGACATGACATCCCAAAGTGGCGATAGAAAAAAAACCACCATCGTTTCTCAAATTAATATATTTTCTATATTTGTAATTAAATTTAATGTAAACAATAATAATAATGTAAATAAATTGTCTAATAATATTAAAAGTTTAACTAAAATACAATTTAAAAGAAAACTATTTGACTACCTAATTAATAATTTATGATGCTGCTTGACACTGTAAAAACATTACATGACTTATTATTCATAATTGTAACTTAAAGTAATAAATTTTTGTTAATATTATTATGACTATATTATTTTAATAATTGTAAAAAAAAACTTTTACACATCTATTGTAATGGTAAAGATTGCTGAACAATTGTAATTAATTTTAAAATCTGCTACTGGCAATCACCAATATTTAGTAAATAAAAATTTATTCATTCATTCTATACTCAGGAATATAATACTGGTATTTCTTAAATTCCATAGTAAATTGTTAAGTTCTCAAATAAAAAACCGAGATCTACATAAAAAAATACTATTTTAAAATCTTTTGTAAAAACACATAGTCCTTTTGTTTCATCAGGTTTTAACTTTATAAATTATTAACACCTTAATAAAAAAACGTCTATGACATTTATGCCCGAAAAGACAGAAAGATTTATGTTGGCAACATTAACTTACTTGGTGCTTGCTTTGCACAAACGAAAAACAATTAACGTCTTCCAACTATATTCGATTAATTAAATATTAGGTTAATAGTACTTATTACATAGATTTCAGTATAATTAAATATTTTTCAGGAAAAGACTGTATACAAAATCCAGCTGCTTTTTCATTTCTGCACCACTCTCGTGTTGTGGTTAAAAAGGTCTGGTGTGGTAGTGATATTACAAGGTACGAAAACATAACCATAAGAAAATTATCCTTATTCTTATGGCATAATATTATAGTCTGCGTAATTATTAGTAACAGGAACTAATGGAGCATTTGCTAACAATAACATCAGAGTAATGTACGGACAAACATTTCCACACAGTCCCCTATAAAAAGCATCGTAACAAATTCACGAAGAATAAACCTGATAAAATTAGTTCAGATGACCTATTGGTCTAACTTCATCTTCCCACATTTCTATCATCTCCCGCCATCATTTACCGTTAACGCAAGCTGGGTATTTTTTTAATGAACAAATCGTAACCCCACCTGCGCTAATGGTATACTCTGGCGGGACACCAGTGAGGAATCATAATTGCGAATGAAAAGGCAGATTAGTTATTACACTGAATTCTGAATGATAGTTTCCAGGTGGGACCACGTGGAGGTCGACCTAACAGGGTATATTGCTAGCAATGAAACTAGTAATCCGCATTACTAACAATCCTCTTCTCTCGCAGACGGGATTACCATTGGTAGGAATGGCAACGCATGAGTGACCTTATGGATACAAGAGAAGATTACTACTTTCAATCAAGTGGGTGGTCAACTTATTCACCAGTCAGTGTCAGTCAAAAAAAAATTATTACCGACATATTTTTATAGTAAAATCAAAATTATGCATTTTATTCATATGCGTATATACAATATTCAAAAGCTCACGCCCAGAGTGATTCTATCTATTCTTATAGATTTACATTACGATAGTACCGAATTGTCAATACTATGCCCGTACTAAATCAAATTTTGTAAAAGAATTAAATATATCCTAATTTTTTTTTTTTTTGTATTATTAAACAGAAACTTTCCATGATCCGCACTTTATCTGTGGCGGGACCGTTAGTGTTAATACCTATTTATTAAAGCACCATTTGTTTAGTATCTGGAAAATAAGTCACTATAATTAGTGTCGTATCGTTTCTATTACCACATCTCTATATAATTTTTGTATATTACATTATTTCTATTACCTAATAAGAACCTATAAAATTATGTTCTCTAAATTAGTTACTTGTAGATATACCTTGTAATAAATAGGTAACCACCTAAGAGGTTATTTCGGTCTGACTTAACTCTAAAAAAACTGTAAACAATCTCACCATAAGAAATGTTTAAAAAATTATATGTTATTTATTACCTACATTAAGAATGATGCTCGATGTTTTTTCCTTTCCTTTGAGCTAAATTCCTAATTCAAAAGAAAACGATAAAACATCTAATTAAAATTCGTCACAAAAAATAATACAGTACGTTTTGTGGCACTCCATCTTTCTGAGTATGTATATTCGTATTAAATTTTCTCATGAATACTTGAAATGTTAGTGGTAGATTTATGTACACGTGTCGAGCGGATACAGAATTTGAAGCTAACACGTGCCGGCGCGTGCCTTCAAAACATTGCTTTATGATGCCTATGGAGTGGAATAAATATTTGTAATGTGTAAATCCATGTTTGTAAGCACTAAAACCCTTATTTATTGACAGTGAATAGGTTAATTTAAACGACTTATCTGAGAATGAATTGGTCACAAGTTTTTACACAACGAACACAAACAATATATATAGTATTAGTACATAAGACTACAAGACAAAAGACAAACAGACGATACAAGGAACCAAGATTAAATCAAATAATCTAATACCTCACCCTAAATAATCTAGTGTACTCTTAGATATGTTTTTGTCTATAGCCGAAAGCTCCGCTCCTTATTCTGGGGTAGTTATCAGACGATTCTGGGGTAAGCATTGTCAACCCAGCGGGGAAAAAGAATTGTTAGTGATGGGGTCTAACAACCACATTGCTAACAACGTAATAGGGTATCTTTTACGTCGACTAAAAGCGTTCCCCCTGGAAACCATCGTGGTTAATTTTTATTGAATTTAACACGATGGGCTTAATGATCTCTTTTATCCTCACTTGTCATCTCTCATTGATGCCCCACCAGTGTATATCAATAGCACAGGCGAGATTACTATTTCACTATCACGATAAAAAAAAACAAGGTTACCCAAGGACCTTTCAATACGTCCATGCTAGCGATAAATACCATAAAACAAATATAAAATTAATACTCAATGTACAATATATACCTACCTTTATTTTTAATATATACATTTTTTATGGGTAATAATATAAGAGTGAACCCACCTACCTTAACGATATATGCTGGCGGAGCTCCAGTAAAAGATGATAGGTGATGTGGCCCATACTGAGGAATTCATCAAAGATTAACCACGATGGTTTTCAAGAGAAATCGCATGGAGGTCGAACTGATTGGGTAAATCACCAGCAATGAGACAATTTGATCCCATTACCACAAACCCCTCATATATATATATATATATATATATATATATATATATATATATATATATATATATATATATATATATATATATATATAAGAAGATGCAGGAATTCTACGTATGACGAAGGTCAAGTCTATCGTAAAAAACCGTGTTCCTATCCTATAAAATTGAGTCTTGAAGGAGGGTCCGTTCCAAGTAAATTCAAACAACGAAATGTTAACCTAACCCTCCTAAAACGAAACGTCAAATCAGTGCACTTGAAATTCAGAGAGCACACACTGTACACACATGAGGTACGAACCATGGAACCCTGGGGGAGGTGTGAGGGCGCGACGTGATTACCCGCGTCCGAGCGGGACGACCCGACCTGCACCCCTATTGTACACTGCTCCCCTGGCCCTTACGAGACAAGATGACGTGTCATCAGTGGTAAGAAGAAACCAGTGATAGCAACATTAGAAATCCTTACGATCTCTTCAAATTTTTCAAAAATATTTCCATGACCCTATAGCAAATTTAAATTTATTTAACCCAAAACTAGCGACGAATACATATTTACTAAGAACAAGGCATATTTATTGATATTAATTTTTAAGTAAAGTTAGGTCTTAGATTATATAGATAGTGTCTCCATACAAATGCTTTGAGAAAAGCGGGTTAACTTTCTCATACAATTTTGCGTGATAAATAGTTACGAGTGATTCCTTTAGAACTTCTATTTTTATTTTGTATTATAAATTCTGCACCTTTTTAATGCTCAAAAATTCACTTATTAAATTATTACACATATAGACATTGTGTACGTAAATATACAAAACATTAATAATAAAACGAGTCAGCTCATTGAAAAATTAGCTGACAAAAAGTTGACTCGTTTTGAGGCTCGATGTTCTACCTATATGATCTAAGGTTTAGGTACAGATTTTCTAGCAACGGGATCGTAAGTTCTTCGTATATAAAATCCTTAATATCATTTATAGGAAATAATAGGAGATAAACAGTAACCAAGGCAACATATAAACAATTTGTCATATAAACGTGATTTTGTTGTAATAAATATTAGTTTTAAGTAGGCGCCTACTACCGAAATAAATTGAAAATGGCATTAAAACCGACTACCTGCAAGGAAGCTATTGCACGATGGGAAAAAGAAAAAGGAGAGAACGCCGCTGATGCCAAAGTGATAGAGTTACAGTTCCAATGGCCACCGATAGAAAAAATGGATGGAGCTTTATCAACACTTGTTGCTTGCGAGTAAGTTTTCGAATGTTTTTATTTATTTAGAGATTTTTGTAAGTAAAATAATAATATCAATTCGATGAAATGGTAATAGAACTTATTTATAGAAGAGTAATTAATATAATTGTGATGCATAAATGCATACGTATATAGTATACTATAATACATATATACGTAATATCTAATAGCCTTTAACTGTTCACTGCTGAAAGCCTCCCCCTGGGGGATCCTGCCAATAGTTACTGTTAGAGTTGCAGCTGAATACCTACCTTGTTAGGAGTGGATATATATGGAAAGATGACCCGCATGAAAGTAGTAGTAGCACTTGTCTTAAGCACTATAAATTTAGTTCTTTGTCCAAGTAATTGACAGTTTATTTATAACACAACACAACACAAACTAAATACACGAAACACTATATCACACTATTATATTAAAATATTATTTAATTTGTAAAGACAATTTTAGACAAAAATCAATTTAGAGAACACGACAAATATTAAGGTTACTAGGCAATAACATTTTTCTTTTTCTATTTTCAAATTTCACTAAAGAGTTTATTAATACCTAATTTACACCTTAACAGTTGCCACGCTTGGCAGACGGATTGGTAACCGCAATTTGGCTTTGAAGATGTTTTAAGTGGGACACTGCTGCCCATCACTTTCCCTTAATTGCGACACCTACAAGAAGGGGTAGTTCTATGCCGGGACTACACAGACATATACGGCCTATATATACGGACATTTATCAATCATTAATCAATATATATAATAAAATCGTAACTGCTCGCTGTCTGTGGAAGATATATAAGAAAAAGTATTATAATTTTTATGAATGCAATAGAACCCAAAACAATGGTTTTTAGAATTTTTGTCTGTTTATCAGAAAAGGTTTAACCGATTTGAATGCGGTTTCACTAATGCGTCGCGCTTTGCTCTACTTAACATTTAGTATTTGTTTAATTTCAATCAGTTTATAAATAAAAAAAAATATATTTTAATCTAAAGAATCACATATAAAATATTATAAAGTAACCGATCAGTTAAATTGGGTGAATTTTTTTTTTATTATATGTATTGATTTTTGAAAATTCTGTCTACTCGTGCGAAGCCGGGTCGGTATATAACTAATCTAAATTCTCATTTATTAATGTTAATTAGATACAAGGACACACACACACAAACTAGATCTTCTACAGACCTACTATATTCATCATACTCAATAATAATACATTGCCAGAGTTAATTTCTACCCAAATTTCAAATATTGTCTGTTTAAATTGATACGATTTCCTTCACTTTTATCCAATCACAAACTTGTGTCGGTTTTCATTGTTTTAACATTTAACCCTCATGACGAACGACTAAATGCCGATATTTGCGCTGACTTCTTTACTAACCGTCTTCCCTCATGTACGTACCTTCATAATATATTCTATGGATTTTTGTACTAAACGATTTACAAATACCAAAACTGTCAAAAAAAGGGAAAAATTATCAAAAAATAAATAAATAAAAGAAAACATCACTAACTACTTATAGTAAATACTTAGTACCTAATAACAAAAATACAAATCTTTCCTCTTTATAATATTACTCGTATAGTAATATTAGAAAGAGAAAAGATTTGTATTTTTGTGTGTATGTTTGTAATGAATAAACTCAAAAACTACTTTGCCGATTTCAAAAATTCTTTCATCATTATAAAGCTATATTCACCCTGAGTAACATAGGCTATATTTATTGCTAGGAAAGATTAGGGATCCTTACTAAAACTTTAGTAATATAACTCAAAATGTAAAAAAAATGATAAAAAATATCTTACGTCGCGTGCGCTGCGGAAACTATTGGTGATAGAACAAAAGTATGTTGTAAAATATTGAAGAAAATATCAATTACTACAAAAAACTTAGCGATACTATATGCCCAATTATTATCATTGTCACAATAACCACTTTTTAAAATGTCGTAAAAATATAAGTAAGAAAATAATAGTTGCCATAAGGAACATGAGGCCTATGATCAGCGGTGAACAGATAATGGATGATATGATGATGATGATGAATAAAATTATAGCATGAGTAATATAATAGCGTTGAGAAACATGATACCTTCTTTAACACGAGGGATACCGTTACGGAAACACATTCATCTCCCCTGGGACGAATGAGTTTCCATAACATACTTCTATCAGCTGAAACCCTATAGTTTTACGTTTCTTTACTATAGTGATGACGCTACGAGTAAGCATTCGTATTTTACTGCAAACCTGGTATTAAAAAACGAAGTATCTACATACTTACTAATAGGAACTATTTTCTTTGCGCGGAAATTTTAAAATTTCTTTTTCCAGAAAACTAAGCTTATCTACAAATATGATTGACAAAATAGCTGGTATCGCCGGTATGAGAAGCCTAAAGATCTTATCTTTGGGTCGGAACTATATTAAATCTTTGGCTGGAATAGTAAGTTTTGAGTATAAGACATAACACTTTTTAAATTTTTGCAATATTTTCCTTTATATAGGGAACGAAGGGTTTCTACTGAAATTATTAATTTGAATGTACCAATAACTGTGGTACGACCTGATTGCAAGCATGACTCTTGCAAAGAGATAAAAATAGCAACGCTTTAAAAACACTTATAAATAGTGGCAAGAATGTGACAACTATTTTTTGTGTCATTTAGAATGCCAAACAGGCTGACGATGCACCTAATTGAAAGTGGTAACAGTCATATAGATGACGGTTACCACTTTCGATTATGGTACTCGCACAGCTGATATTATCACAAAATATGTTGTAATGCTCATGGTGTCCATAGTGTATTGCCATTCCTGAGAACTTAGATTTTATGCTCCCATATATTACCGTTAAAATCATTGTATAAAAGGTATATACACGCTCTCTGCATTAATACTCTCGAGCTGATAACTAATCATCATTTATTTAAATACTTTTTTATGAAAATATACCACTATACATTATATTTCCAGGAAACTGTCGCGGAAACACTTGAAGAACTATGGATAAGCTATAATTCAATAGATAAATTAAAAGGCATTGGAGCTCTAAAAAACTTACGAGTGCTCTATATATCCAACAATTTGGTGAAAGAGTGGGTCGAATTCAATAGATTACAGGTAGATTTTAATTCAATGTTATCATTGTTATCAGCCGCTAATTGTGTACTGCTGGACATAGGCCATAGGGGAGCTTTTGCGAATAGTTGCCACGCTTAGCAGGCAACCGCAGACTTTGAAATTACTTTGGTTTTTTTAATCATTGTATAGGTTTTTTTTTTTGATGGATGAAAATGGTACGGTAACCCCGCCTGCGCTAACGGGATACGCTGGCGGAGCACCAGTGAAGGGTGATAGATGAGAATGAAAACAGGCCAGTTAGCCCATCATGATGAATTCCTCCCAGAATTAACCATGATAGTTTCCAGGGGGAACCGCGAGGAAGTCGTCCTGGTTGGGTATATTGCTAGCAATGGGATTCTCAGCCTCCGTTACTAACAATCCCTTTCCGCCTCATTGTATAGGTAGATATTATTATTTACCTTAAATTATCTCGTTCCAAAGCAAAACCTCTCCATCCTCTTCTGTATATCATTATCGATCTATCAATCAATCCCTCTTGGATAAAATGCAGAACCATGAAATAATACAAAACGATAATTATATTTACCAAAAATCAGCTTTGCGCTGCATCACAACTTGATGGTAGAAGGGACGAAGACTGGAGAAAAGCGGGTTGTAGGTAGTATAAATAGGTAAATCTTCGGGTTACGTGTAACACAAATTAAATTTATAAAAACAATTCGTACTTTCTTGACATATTAATATCTTCTTGATCTATCTACATACTTACAGGAATGCCCAGCATTGAGAGATCTTGTTTTTATCGGTAACCCTTTATGTGACAATCAGCCTGACGTAGAAACTTGGCGCACCCAAGCCTCCAATCGCTTGCAACAAATAATCAAATTAGATGGCATACCTATTGTTAGAGATACTGATTAAAAGACAAATAGGTATTTTAATAATTATTAATTAAATTATGTAACCATGGAATATCATTGAAATAAAGCTTGTTATATTTAAAACTGAAATTGCTCTTTTTCCGACATTTGAATGATCATAATTTTGTGTCATTATCAAGATTCCCATTCGTACCTAATAAGTCAATTACACAACTATTTCGGCCGAAACATCGTCCCCTGATTTTTTATTTTGAATTAAAGCTATGATTGCGTGACACTTTCTGTGACAATAGTTGATAGAGGCCCACTTGTTTATGCTAGGAATTGAAATGACGATAATATTCAACTTAATAGCCACGTCGCATCACCTCGCTCTCTTGACATTTATGACAGATTATAACTCTGGCAATACTAATAACCGCTGCACACGCCATCTATCTATTAGGTGACGCAACTAATATATGACAGCGTTAAGATTGAATTCCATTAATCGAATAATGATTGCGATAGCAGATTGAAGATTACCAAGTGATTCAAGTAATATCATAAAGCGATAAATTGTCTTGCTAACTGATAGAAAACAAATTATCGTTAATATTAGCTTAATGAAAAATAAAAAAAAATTCTGTACGCGTAACTTGAAATTACATTTTCTTTGAAAAAAATAAATTACTGTCCTATCCATTTATTTTATTTACTCCTGACAGGTAGGAAGTCACTTCTGTTAGTAGAAGTGACTTCCTACCTTTCTATTAGTAGTATTTATCACCCATTTCCTGTGGAAATAGTCTCATAAATTTCTATAGACAAACATCTGAGAACCGTCATATAGTAACTACTTTGTTGGAACTAAAATTAAAAAGCTTATTTTATATCAAATCGTCAACTGTGTAACTTCATTGTGAAAGCGTAGCCATTGTCCTCTCGACTTTATGATTCGTCATACGTCTCAAAGCCGACTTAATAGCCTGCTTAATTCGTGCCAAAAGGAAATGCGAATCGGTAGGGGAAGCCATTGCCGACGGAAAATTCCCTCTCAGTAGATGCGTGGATGGCCCGCTATTGTGTTGCCACTAATAAAATTTAATGATGTAAACGGATAGCGCGAATTTATCTAACTCAAAGCGCTCTGGGAGTCGGTCGCTGAGGGGAAATCAATTAAGAACAATATATCAGTTGTAGAACAAATTAAGTTACTTCAATTACTATTGAGTTACACGATATTGTTGTAAACTTAATACGATTGTAGATAAATATTAAAATAGCAATGTTAAAAATTATTTTTCATCGATCATGATAGAACTTTAGCTATTTCAGTTGATAATTACTATTAGCTACATTCAATTCTACATATAGATACATAGCTACTCTTTATAAAGTAATATCCTAGTAATATTGAAAGAAATAAAATATTACTTTTCAATTAAGCTCTAATGTTACAATAATAAACGTGTGACTCCAACGTTTCGGTGACATGCCATGTTAGAATTTAATAATTTGATGGAAATTTGGTCATTGTGTACTCTAAGTAATGGACCGATAATTGTCCGTCCAAACAGAAGTAACTCAGTTAATCACAATAAAGCACACACTACCCTACTCGTATAAATCAAATATATACCCTCGTTAATGCGCACACATGCCGACTGAACGTCACCTAAACCGTCATTATATAATTATTAACACTACAATCGACCTAATTTTGATTTCTATTTGACATTTCGATTACTCCGCCACGTAGCCGCCGGCGAGCGGCCATTTTGTGACATCTGTCCTCGAATGTGATACCAACTATAAAATTCAATTTCCCTCAATCGGCTAGCTCGACACATTTATTATTCATAGATCGGTACCTAGATGCCCGGCCACTAACAGATGTGATCTTTTACGTGAAGGAATATCAAAAAAGATGACGTCGATATAAAGAGCAGTGACTTTGAGGGACATGAATTTAATATAAGATCACGTGAATCCAATTTATGAAAGCACTGATATATCTAATGCATAAGAAAAAAGCGACCAATAGGATAACATAAAGCTACTCAATCGCGTGACAAGTGTAGGCGGCAGCGGGAAATGAGGTTTGATTTCAGTTTGATTCGGTTATACAATAAATTTTGCAGTATTTCAAGTCATACGTAGATGATTGGTTAGTAAGCAATACACTTAAGGTCACGCTACCAATCGCTTTTAGATACCTAATACCTGCCTGATTGTTTTTCCACTGTAAATTCATTTTCATAATGACTCCATCGTAGCAGCTGATAGTCGTACGCATTTAAATATGGGTATGATTGAAATCATGTACATATATCGCAAGACCAATAAATCAATCTATGTCGCCAGTAATGCACAATCCATTTGCTCACTTGTAGTCTAATTGCTGTTAGCGCCGCCCAGTGACCACATTAGGCTGAAACGTTCCACACACCGCCCACTCGTGAGCTCTACACTACAGTAAACACATATGACGGCCTCACTTGACCTATTCGAGTGTAATGGCTGATTTTCTAGCTCACGAGACGTAACCGGCAAACGGCCACGCTTACGCTACTGAAAGGCAGAGAAAATGGCTTAAGTGCTTTCTCTATTATACTTAAGGTCGTTCGTGAAAAGGATAATTTTCAACTCTCCAGCGCCCCCGCCCCGTTTGAGTTTTGTTGGAATTGTGTGGATAAGATATGATCAACCACTTGGTTGCAAACAAAATGTTTAGTTAAAATATATTTTCTAACTAGATTAGATAATTATATCAGGTAAAGTAGAACAGAAATACATCTCTAATTACAATTTTCAATCAATATTCTGCAGAGATCAATATTCGTCTTAATTGAATAAGAAAAATTGGATGTCGTTACAAGCAAAAGACTTTATTATTACTATTGTAAAACATGTGTGTAACAAAATATGAATTTGCCTTAGGACTTATCGATTTTTTCTTTTCTCGATTCATTATTATCAAGTTACCTAACAAATCATTAACATTCCAATGTCAGCATGAATCTCTCCTAAAAAGAATATTAGCTGTTTGGTTAGGTACCTACTACCTCTTTATCGGACAGAGATACTGACGATGCACCATGGAGTTTTCCCATTTTAATAATTATTATCATATTTCACTGCTGAATATAAGCCTTCCCCTTGGAGGATTTTGCCAGTAGTTACCACGCTTGGTTGGCAGGCGCATTGGCAAACCGCAGTTAGGGTTTATAGATGTTTTAAGAGGATCGCTGCTGCCCATCCCTCGCCGTCCCTTAATCGTCTTTTACAACACCTACGGGATTGAAAGTGGTGACCTATTCTATGCTGGTACCACACAGCCTTCTCATCTTACTCTACTATATTTCACACTTACTATATTGCCTATATCTATAGTCTAAATAAGGAATAACACCCCTCTGGAGAAGTTTTCAACTTGATGGAATTTTAATTTTTATACAAATTAAAACATATCCATAATAACCTATTGTGTAACAAGATAATATATTTTTAAGTTGGGTAACCTATTGTCGCGGCAAGCGGCGAGGGTCGCAAAATAAAGCTTTCCCAACAAACAATAGTTCCGGCCCTTTGTCGCACACCGAGTAGAGTAAACATTAGTAGTTGAAGGCATTGTGAAGGGCCCACAGCGTCGCCGAGTAAAGTTGCGTCGTGGCAGTCCCGAAACGGCACAGTAAAAGGTTACGGTTAGATTTTAACTCCTACTTACCCCTCATTAAGTACCTTTTGTTCATGGGTTATATATTCTTTTAGACTACAGTAATTATCCTTTTATACGAGCACATACAATGGGCACTAAATATGTATATATACACATAATTGAAGAGTCAAATAGCTTTTTGTCTACTAAGAGCAAAATGACCCACGTTAATCACCTTAATCCTTAAATAAGTAAACTGAAACTGAACTGATCTGTTAATTACACTCTCTAAGTATTATATATTAATCTATCAGAAGTGTTTGTACATCTTTAAATCGTCTCCGAAATCAGATGTGTCGAAAATTTTGTAGAAAAAATTTTGTTTTCAATAGACAATACAACTTACAACTAGGTACTATCTTTAAAATTAATGACACTTATACTGGCCTATATAAATATTCAACAAAATTTTTTAGGCGTCACAGAAATTTTGGTTTTTCTTACAAAACACAGCACATATTTATAACCCTAAACTGAAACCGTGAAACTTCAATCAAAACGGGGAAGTCACGATCGTACCATAAATTATGTACTGTTTCAACATTAACACCTACTTTCCATAATAGCCGATAAACCAAATTTAGTTTTCATGTTACGCACCCTCCGCGCTCCGTAGCTACTTATAATAAGCAATGATCAATGGAGAATAATCCCATTGTGTCGCACGCAGACAAAAAACCATGTTTGAATTATTCCGCTACGCTTTCGCGCTAATATCTCCATTACATTAGGCAGTGTCGAACCTCATTGTTACTGCCTCTCTACATCTACATAGAAAGGATTACGCGCCAAAATGTTGACAGTTGTCGATGAGACAAAAGAAAAGCGAGTGCATTCCGAAATACGCATAATAGGTTGTGTTTATTTAATTTAAGTCATTGGCAATACAGAATAATGCCGTGTTTTCGCCAGCGGCATTCTGACTTGAGCCGGAGCACCTCGGGGCAATAAAATTAATGAAGCGTGGAGATGGGACCATTTTACTTGTATTATTCGTCTCTTGCGGGCTGAGACTGAAGCGAATGTCCATTAGTTCTGTTTTAACATGTTAGCGAGGTTGAAACGTTGTAAATGCGATTTACTCTACAGAGAGGGTGCAAAAGTAGCCAGAGAGACTCGGTCACGATCAATAGATAAACCGATTGGAAACGATTTAAAATATTTAACGATCCATCGAAACAAAGTTAGTATTTTTTTTCTGTTTTATTTATTTTTTCAAAATTGCATGGGGACTTATTTTTTTATACAGTTACTTATACCTCCAGTAAATTAATTCGAAAGGTATGTACTCCTAGATACTTGATAAAATAAATTACTTACATAAGATAAGAGTTAAAATATACCCAGGCTTTCGCTAAGGGTTTCTAGAAGTTTGAGACTGCGTTTACCTTACCATATTTATTTAATACAGTAGTTA